AAAAAAAAAAAGGATGAGCCCCAAAAACATGATGCCGGGTAAGAGAAGCCAGACAGAATGCCACATTCTGTATGATCCCAACTATATGAAATGTCCCGAACAGGCAAAGGTACAGACAAAAAGCAGATGAGTGGTTACCAGCAACCAGGGGAGGGAAAAGTGGGTAGTGAATATTTAATGGGAATGAGGTTTCCTTTTGAGGTAATGGAATGTTTGGGATTAGACAGTGATTGTTGCACAGTATCACAAATATACTAAACACCACTAAATTATTCATTTTTTGATAGTTAACTTTAAGTTATGTGAATTTCATCTCTAAAAAACAGGATGTACTCCAAATCCCATCCCCACAGAGCAGGTTCACAACAGTGCCTGTGAGGGGCTGAAACCCAACCTTTCCTCATGAGACCCTGTTCTGATGGGTGTTGTTTTAGCCCACAGGTGACAGCTGCCATCAAAAGCCTCATATGCTATGATGTCAAGGCACAAAAATAAATACATGAAAAACCTTACCGAGAATACTTTTACTTGCTCTTTTCCACTGTCTGTGCTCCTGGTACAACCCTGATTCAAATATGTTTCTTTTTCTTTAGAAGAGTCCATCAAACTTCCCAGCAACTCTTTCACTTCTTCTTCATCACTGTCTGGAGAATCCAGTTTCCTAATAGGTTCTTGCTCTTGGGGTGTCTGAAAATTCTTCTCTTTCCCAAAAAGTGCTTCAGGGGATGTATTTTCAATGGGTGGTGCTCTCTTCTTTAGAAACCTACTAACCCTCCCACTCACAGCACTGCTCTCATTGACAGGAATTTCACAGTCTTGTTTCTGGGTGTGGTGGTCTGTATTCTGTGAAGTGTATTCAGCTGTACCCCTGGGAGGAATTTTGTCTGCACTCTTCGGAAGACTGTCAGAAGTCTTGGGGTCAGATTCCATGTCAGACAATTCCCTCTGCAGCTTCCGGCTCATGATCTTGGTTTCTATCTGAGCCAGCCTGGAGAGCACAGAGTTGGCTCTGAGCTTCGAGGCAGTGGTTGGAGGTCTAGCAGAGGACAGTCTGGGTCCACTCCCCAGTACAGTGTGTTCTTTCAGGAGCTGGTGTTTTTCGCCCATACTTTGGTTCCTTTTTAGAAATCTGCTGTGTCCGGGTGCTATTTTGGCAAGACTTCTACTGATTTTCAAGTTTCTGATTTCTTCCATCTTTGAATCTTCTAAGGAAATATCACTAAAATCACCCAAAAAATCACACGTAGAGTGCCTGGTTTTTCTTGTTGAAATCATCCTTGGGAATAAAGAAAGAAAACTTCACTAAGAAAACCTAATATATGTAATGTGCAGTCAAAATCTCTTGATGCCTCCCATCACCTCAGGAAAGATCAAATGCCCCTCAGCCAGTCTGGCCAGAGCCTTCTCTTCAAGCCCAATGAGGACAATGAAAATGACTGGATACTTGGTACCACTTAACGAACAGTTCAACACCATATCTTAAATAATATATGTTACATATTAAACACAGGAGTCCATACTTCTCAGGTTCCAGGGGTGTGATGGGTACTCTACTCACAGTAGAATTTCATTTCATTTTCAAGAAATCTTGGGGGAGGGTCCTCCCTGGTGGTACAGGGGTTAAAGTCTCAGCACTATTAAACTATTAAACCAGCCACTTTGGCATGAATTTGATCTCTGGCCAGGGAGATAACCACACAATGCAGGAGACTGCTCCTGTCTTGCTTGCTGTTCCCCTCAGCAGTGTATTTCAGTAGAGCTGCCTGTTCTGTTCCCTACTCTGTTCCCTCTCACCCCCAGAACCTCTGGCCTATACCCCAATTTATGCATGTATAAGTAAATTTATTAAAAAAAAAAAAAAAGAGGGCCCTCCCTGGTGGCACAACGGATTAAAGCATAGCACCATGAAGCTATTGCAGTCACTGCAGCAGGCGTTCAATCCCCGGGAGGGGGGTGCCCCATGTGGCATGACAGACCTCTCCTCACCAGCCTGCTGCTCCCCTCAGCAGTGTATTTCAGTCAAGCTGCCTGTTCTGCTCCCTACTCTGTCTCTGGTGAATCCTCTCACCCTCTGCACTTCTGGCCTGTACCCCAGTTCTATATGTATAAATAAATATTAAAAAAAAAAAAGTCCTGTGGACTGATTACTATCACTCACTTATATTTAAAGTTAAGTCACCTGGCCCTCCCTGGTGGCACGAGAGATTAAAGCATAGCACCATGAAGCTATCGCAGCCACTGCAGCATGAGTTCAATCCCCAGTCAGGGAGGCGACCCACGTGGCTGGCAGACCTCTCCTGACCCTCCCGCTGCTCCCATCAATAGTGTATTTCAGTCGATCTGCCTGTTCTGCTCCCCACTCTACCTCTGATGAATCCTCTCACTGTCCACACCGCTGGCCTGTACCCCAATTCTGTATGCATAAGTAAATAAATCTTTAAAAAAAAGAAAGTTAAGTCACCTGACTGGTGAGCAGCAAAGCCTAATTCAAAGTTCAGATCTGATTCCAAAGACACTGCTCTCTCCTCCTGTGCTTTACTACTTTACCAATTATCACATTACTATTCTGAATGATTCCTGCTCCCCTATTACACATCAGGTCAAGGTTCTGTCTTTATCCAAGCGTCCTCAGCTCTATTACAAAATCACAGTATAAACAACCATCTGTATAAGTTGCACAGGAAATCTTATTTCACTTGGAAGTGTAAGAACCACTACCGTAGAAGGGGGTGGAGAGGGTAATGAACAGACACAGCTTCCCACACCATGGAAGATTCCTAGTCCACTGTCCACCACCTATTATATACGCATGCAAATATGCATGTTACCAGAGTTTACATGTGTCCCTGAGAATAGGAACAAACTACTGCAAGATTTACAAAACTTTCAAAGGATTTAAAAAACTAAAAATGATGGAAAAATATGGCAAAAAGATGGAAAAATATGGCATGTGTTTACTGCAAGCCCTTTTAGTGAGGAACACCAAAATAGCAATAAAAATATGCAATGCACACACAGTCTGCTGATTCTATGTCTAGGGATTCGCTGACAAGTATACTCTCAAACACACAAAGAGATGTGCCTTCAAGAAACATCATGGCAGTGCACCAATCACCTGAATCCATTCACAGAGACCTGGTGAAGTCCAGGACACCCATGCACACATGGAATATTAGTAGCCTCTTAAGAGGAAAAAAGGACAGATTTGTGCATAATGTCTCCAACATATTAGCATATGAGATAGAGAAGACAAGATAGAGAACCAGGCCTCCTTCCATACTGTTTGAAAAGTTTGGACAGGCCAAGTGCTACCTTGATTAAAAAAAAATTTCACTGTGAAATCTGAAAAGGACTTTCGTCCATCCTTGCCTAATTAGGGTTGCCAATTTAATTGCCAGATTAAATACAGAATTACCCTGCTGCATAGGCCAGGATAACTGAAATGTAGAAATGTACACTCATAATAGTTATTTTTCATAGGACACAAAATGGGGGAACAACCCAAATGTCCATTAACAAGTAAATGCTTGAGAACTAAGGTCCATCCACATGATGGCACACTATTTAGCAATAAGAATGATCGGCAACCCAACAACAAAGTACATACAAACACATTTTACAGACTATATTTCCATTTATAACCATACAGAAAAGGAAAATCTAGGCTCAGAAAGCACTGCAGTTGTGAGCCGAGGCTGGAAGAAAATGCGGGATGGACTTTAAAGGGACAGGAAGGATCTCTTTGGGGGTGATGGGAAAGTTCTTAAGTTGGATGGTGGTTAAATTGCCTCACTCGGTGAATTCACGCAAAAGGGAAGAATTGTATAGCTATTTACATAAACCCTCAATAAAGTTGTTTAAAAATAAATAAGCCAAACGCTAGACATGGTGGAGCGCTTCGGACCATCAGACTCTTCCCAAGCAACCTTTGTGGAGCTGACTCGAGAGTGCTCCCCAGACGGAGAAATTAAGGCAGGAGGGCCGGGCCATGCTTCCAGCTCACCTCTGGAATGGGCCCAGTGTCCCCGCAATTCCTTTCTCTATATCCGGGCGTTCGGATCAATCCGGGCGTTCGGATCAATCCGGCGGCCTCCAGGTCAACCTCCTCCCACGCTGTCCATCTATTGAAACCACCGGAGCTCAGGCCCCAGAAGACCGTTGCCCCCGGCAACAGTTCCAGGCGGAAGAGACTACATCTCCCGGCGCGCGCCACATTTCGCGGACCAATGGGGCTGCAGGTCACAATCGCCTGGCATCATGGGAATGACAGTTTCAACGCAGGCCCGGCGTACACAGCACCCGAGGACCAATGGTGTTGCAGGTCATAATCGCGAGGCGTGACGGGATTTGTAGTTCCCAGTCGTTCCGGCGCGTCGCGAAGACCGCTCGGAGTAAAGGGGCGGTTACTAAGAAGCACCCTCGCCCTTGAATGGCCGCTCCTGTAGTCGCTCTCTGGGCTTTCTGCGTGCTGCGTGTGGTGTTGGCCACCGTCTACTTCCAGGAGGAATTTCTGGACGGAGGTGAAGGGGCGACGCTCGTGTCGGCAGGGGTGTAAGATCTCCCATCCCGCACTTCTCAACGGACCTCTGGAGTCACTCTTGACCCCGGCCTGTAGCCGCTGTGTTAGTGGATGTGAAGCCTCGAAGCTTTGAAGCCTCGAGGGGCCCCTTTACCCTCTCTTTGACCCAAATTAACAATTTTTGGCTCTAACCAATATTGTTTACCTCCACAGAGCGCTGGAGGAACCGATGGGTGCAGTCTGCCAATGACTCCCAATTTGGCCATTTTAGACTCTCATCAGGGAAATTTTATGGTCATAAAGAGAAAGACAAAGGTTAGTGTAGGGAAGGTGAGAAAATGGAGCTAAGTGTTTCACAAACTCATACCAACTTTTCAAGGTATGTGCGGCACACCCCTACACCACTTATACCAATGTCACAGGTGAGGAAATTAAGGCACAGGTAGGGTCTGGTGTTGTTTTGGTTGTCTCTCTTACTTTACTTGTCAAAGATCACTCTGCCTGATAAGCAACTGGCCAAGAGTTTGGCAACCCTTACCCTGCAGAGAGAAAAAGATTAAGAGGGTAGGTCTCATTTTCTTTCACATTAAAAAAATTGAGATGAGAGGTATAATTGTCAAGTGCTCAGATCTTAGGGGCTACATACAGTGAATGATTAAAAGTGTGCATCCAAGTCAAGAAAGTGGCCCCCTTCAATGCCAGAAAACTCTACCCTTCCCCCCAAGCCTCTGGCATCCTTTTAACTACAGCTCATGTACTGCCCATTTTCATATAATCAGTAAGCTGCAAATGGCTTTCACAGTTTTTAATGGATGTGGAAGAACTGAAAGGGGAGTGGTATTTTGTGCTACATAGAGATTAGATGATAACATTCAATGAAAATTTGAAAATTTCATTGTCCATAAGTAAAGTTTTCTTGGAACACAGCTGTGCCCACTCATTTACAAATAGTCTATGGCTACTTTCATGCTGTAAAGGCAGAATGCAGTAGTTATGACTGAAACTGAATAACCGACAGAATCTAAAATATTTACTCTGACCTTATAGAAAAAAATTATTTGGTTAAATTGTCCTTATCACCACTTTCCACTCAACCTCCATTTGGCCCCACTACTCCAGTGTTGCCCTAAGTCCAGCAGCCTCTAATTTTGGATTGTGTATGCATTGTTTTGTAAGTTGCATGTTACTCCAAATAGTCAGAATTAGCCCATGTGACAAAAATGGAGTAAAAATAAGCAAGTTTGTTTCATGAAACTTGTTCAAGGACTGGGGTTCCCACTTGGAGTCATTTGGGGATTTTTTTTTCCTTTCTCCAATCTGGGATTCTGAGATTTGGTACATTTCATTCACTGTAGCATGTGTCTACTGACAGTACATATGACAGTACACTGGGGATAGGCCCATCTTTTTATGGTCCCCTGGGCCCATGACATAGAAGCCATGTATGGAAAGATGAATAAAATTTGTCAGAGATGGGAAATGGTGGGAGACCATGAGGGGTGGGGATAGAGGTGATGAATCTTATGACCTTAAGAATCACCTGGATAGTAGTTGGGGGAGGACGGCCTGTAAATTCCTTGAAAAAGAGCAGGATGGGTTAAGAATGAAGGATGCAGAAAAATAGGTGTGACAGTGGGGTGTCAGCTGTGATTTCAGGCATAAACATACTGACACAAAATGTTGAGGTTATTTATGATGGAAGCTAAGGGGGCCAGAGTGTGGAGCGAAAGGTAGGCAAAAACAAGGCTGGCTCTTGTTTTCAGGTTTGTCTCACAACCTGCAGTGCAGGATAAGGATTTGGTGCAGAGCCTAAGTGTATTGATAAAAATGGCTTTGGTTGTAACGTAAACACTTATAAAACAAACGAGATGATTTTCCCTACAACAAATGATGATCTTCAAAAAAGGAGCCACTACACAGATGCCATCTACAGGCCAGTTCAGCCAATGCCAAGAAGTACTTTTTTTTTTTTTTTTTTTTAAATCAGCATCAATAGCTGTGTCTCTTAAGTAGCCTAAGTAGCTGTTTTAGGGAAAAGATGTGTATGCCCTTTTTAAAATTAGGTTGATGCTCAAGGTTCATCTACAGTTGACCCTTGAACAACATGGTTTTGAACTTTATGCTTCATGGATCCACTTGAATTCTTTTCTATCCGTGGGTTCCAAATTCACAGAATCAACCCACTGGGGATGTTGGTTGGTGAATTTGAGCTTGTGGAACATGTATGTGGTTATTTTCATGTGGGCTGATATCCCTAAATCCATGTTGCTCAAGGATCTACTGTATATTCCCAGCCCTTGGAAGACTAATGAAAGAAAAACTAACATTTTAGACTGCATACTTCTCATTTAAATATCAAGAACTTTGAGCGCACAGGGCCTGCAGCTCAATAACTTAAATAACATAAGACAGTGCTGTCATATTAAATGCAAAAACATCTCTGGGTGTGAAATAGAAATTCTGCGGACCCTGGGGGTGGGGGAAGACAAACATTAACTTCCCTGCATCATCAAACATAGTAACGTAACTAGTCCTTCATGAGTACTTTTTATTTAAAGGTCTGCAAACCACTCAAAATGGCCGATTTTATGCCATCTCTGCACGGTTTAAACCATTTAGCAATAAAGGGAAGACTCTGGTGATTCAGTACACAGTGAAACATGAGCAGAAGATGGACTGTGGAGGAGGCTACATCAAGATCTTTCCTGCAGATGTGGATCAGAAGAAACTGAATGGAAAATCCCAGTATTACATTATGTTTGGTGAGTTCATGCACTGCAATGCAACCTTTTCTATAGGCTCCTCTGCTAATATGGTATACTGTTTGAATATAGCTGATCAAAGACTATTTGCACTGTTAACTCTAATATTATAAAAAGGCAATTGTACCATTCTCATGTGAGTTCTTTATTCAACATTAATATAGCCCCAAGTATTTTAAATACCCTAGGAGTTAGCAAATCCTATTTAGCCCAGGGCCAAATTACAGCCTGTGTATCTGTGTGTTATGGCTCATGAGCTGAAAATGAGTTTTACTTTTTTAAGTAATAGTCAAAACCAATATTAAGATAATGTTTTGTGACTCATGAGAATTACATGAAATTCAATTTTTAGTGTCCACAAATAAAGCCTTACTCCAATCATTGACATTTTTATGACTGTTTTAAGGAGCAGTGAGAGTTGAATAGTTGTAATGGAGACCATGTGGCCTATAGGCCCAAATATGTTTGCTATCTGGTTCATCACAGAAAATCAGAATATATAAAATGTGCCCTGACACAGATATAATTGATTAAAATTTGTGTTAGAATTGGGAAGGTACCACATTGGGACACAGAAATAAAACAGCTGGAGTGTGTGAATTCAGAAAGCTTTAATTAAGAATGAAGCAGATTCAGGGAACATGGAATAGAAGCACCAAGAATAGGTCTACCCACCTTGATAACACTGAAAGGATCTTTTTGATGTAACTATTTTGAAATTCCCGAGCATGTAGGATTGCAACATCCTGGGAGAAGACCAGGATGGTAACTTGGGGTTAATTTTGGTCACTCTTAGCTCTCATCCCCCATCATGCAGCCATGGGGGAGACTATTCCTGGAACAGTTTGCACATACCTCTGGGAGTTAAGCTGGGCGAAAGGACCTATCTTTCAGTTTTTGTGGATCTAAGTTCTGCTCACTGATTGCTGTTTTTGATCACAGAGGTACAGAGAGAATCAGGCTTTGTTTTCAGGTTTGTCTGGCAAACTACAAAACAAGATAAAAGATTTGCCTAAGTGTCTATTGATATTTAGATTTTGGTCTTAAAGTGAACACCTAAACTTATAAACATGAGATGATTTTCCTAACAGAAGATGCTGTCTTAAAAAAAAAAAAAAAAGGGTGTGGGGGTGGTGGTGCAGTGGATTAAAGCACAGCACTATGAGGCTGTCTGCAGCCACTGTAGTACGAGTTCGATCAGCAACCAGGTAGCGGACCCACATGATACAGCAGATCTCTCCTGTCCTGCCCTCTGCTCCCCTCAGCAGTGTATTTCAGTCAAAATCTACCTGCTCTGTTCCCTACTCTGTCTCTGGTGAATCCTCTCACCTTGCCCACCCCCATACCTCTGGCCTATACCCCAATTCTTGTATAAAGAAATATTTAAGGGGGGGGGGCAGCACCTAAGATGCCACATAAGGCAGTTCACCCAGTACATCTTTACAAATCAGCACTCTACCCTCCATTGACAGTTTTGTCACTTAAGTAGCCGTCCTAAGATGATAAACAGGAAAAAACTATATGCTCTCTTTTTGGAAAACTTTTCTAGGTAAAATGACTTTCAAGAGATTTAAAGGGCTGTGTGCCCTTTCCATACCTAAATTTTTCACCTTTCCCACATTTGGGAACCATGTATTAATGACTGGGTCATTCCAAAGCACCTGCATATCTGGAGGAAATTAAAAATAACCATGCATACCTAGGGAAAGGTTTAACAGATTTGAGAAGATACTGAGCTTATACCTCCAACTGATCCTCTGACGAGAGGAAGTATACAATCAAAATAAA